ATGGACCAAAGGCCTTAATTGACAGATACTTTTACCAAAGAAGACACACAGGGCAAATAGGTGAAAAGACGCTCCACATCACATGTTATCAGGGAAATGCAAATTAAAACTGCAATGAGATACCGCTACATGCCTATTAGAATGGCCAAAATCCAAAACAGAGAATATTGAGCAACAGGAACTTCCATTCATGGCTGATGAGAATGCAAAATGGTATAGTCACTTTGGAATACAATTTGGCAGTTTTTTACAAAACTAAACGTATTCTTACCATGTGATCCAGATATCGCACTCCTAAAAATACCCTATCTCAAAAAAAAAGAAAGAGGGGCCAGGCATGGTGGCTCATGTCTATAATCCTAGCACTTGGGGAGGCCGAGGTGGGAGGATTGCTTGAGGTCAGAAGTTCGAGACTAATCTGAGCAAAAGCGAGATGCTGTCTCTACTAAACATTTAAAAATTATCTGAGCATGGTGGAACACACCTGTAGTCCCAGCTACTCAGGGGTCTGATGCAGGAGGATCACTTGAGCCCAGGAATTGAGGCTTCAGTGAGCTATGATGGCACCACTGCATTCTAGCCCAGATGACAGATTGAGACTCTGTCTCACATTAAAAAAAAAAAAGAAAGAAAGAAATCACAATAAAAATTAGAAAATATTTTGATGAGAAAGAATTATAACATTAAAAACAACATATCAATTCTTGTAGGCTGCTGCTTAGGCATGTTTAGAGAACATTTTATAGCTACAAATGCATGTATTAGGAAAAAAGAAGTACCAAAAATCAATTATCCAGGTGTCCAGATCAAGTAGTTAGAAAATAGCAACTTAAATGCCAAGAAAAGAGGAGAAATGCCAGGTGCAGTGGTGCGCACTTGCAGTCCTAGCTACTGGGGAGGTGAGGCAGGAGGATCACTCAAGTCTAGGAGTTCCAGGCTGTTGTGCACTATGACAATCAGGTGTCTGCACCAAGTTCAGCATCAACACAGTGACCTTCAGGAAGTGCCAGCATACCAGGCCGGTTGCATAGGAGGCAACTGGCAGAGCAAGTCAACGCTCCTATGCTGAGCAGTAGCTGGATCTTGCCCCTGAGCAGCCCCTGCTCTCCTGCCTGTGCAACACAGTGAGACCCTGTCTCTTAAGACAAAGAAGGAGAAGAAGAAAGTAGGAGAAAAGAAGTAATAAAGATAACAACAGAGATTACTAAAGTTGAAAACAAATACACAATAAAAAGCATCAAAAATTCATATTTATAAACCCATACGAAGAAAGATCAAGAATAAAAATAGAGAAGACAAAAATTATCAATAGCAAGAACCAATGGGAGCTCCATTATGTATCCCGCTTTTTAGATAGATAATGGAAGAACATTATGAACAACAATATGAGTGAACTTAAAAATGTAAATGAAATAAACAAATTCCTAGAAATAGCCAATTTACCAAAAAGAAACCTGGCTGGGCGTGGTGGCTCACACCTGTAATCCTAGCACTCTGGGAGGCCAAGGCGAGCAGATCACTCAAGGTCAAGAGTTCAAAACCAGCCTGAGCAAGAGTGAGACCCTCTACTATAAATAGAAAGAAATTAATTGGCCAACTAAAAATATATATAGAAAAACTTAGCCGGGCATGGTGGCGCATGCCTGTAGTCCCAGCTACTTGGGAGGCTGAGGCAGAAGGATCGCTTGAACCCAGGAGTTTGAGGTTGCTGTGAGCTAGGCTGATGCTATGGCACTCTAGCCCAGGCAAAAGAGTGAGACTCGGTCTCAAAACAAAAAATAAAATCAAAGAAACTCGAGATATAAAAAGCCCTATATTTACCAAAGAAATTGAATCAAAGGTTAGAAAATCTACCTACAATCAAAATTCCAGGCCCAGATAGCTTCCCTGATGAACACAGAAAACATTTAAAGAAGAAATAACGCCAATTGCAGCCGGGCGCGGTGGCTCACGCCTGCAATCCTAGCACTCTGGGAGGCTAAGGTGGTAGGATCGCTTGAGCTCAGGAATAGGAGACCAGGCTGAGCAAGAGTGAGCCCCATTTCTACAAAAATTAGAAAAACTAGCCAAGTGCAGTGGCGTGTGCCTGTAGGTAGTCCCAGCTACTCCGGAGGCTGAGACAGGCGGCTTGCTTGAGCCCAGGAGTTTGAAGTTGCTGTGAGCGAGGCTGATGCTACTGGTCTGGGCAACAGAGCAAGACTCTGTCTCAATGAATAAATAAATAAAAATAACACCAATTGTACATGGACTTTTTTGGAAAATGGATAAAGAAACATCTCCCAATGTATCTAGTGAGGTCATATAACCTTAATCCCCAAATCTGACATGGACATTATAACAAAGGAAAGCTACTCATGAATCTTTCTCAGAAACATGCACAGGCAAAAAAGATCCCAAAGAAAGAAGACAGTGGCTGGTCTAAAGGTAATGAGTTATCTCACTTGATTGTCCACAGTCAGTTACTGATGGAACTCCTGTTCTAGTCTTTCCCCCTTCTCACTACTGCACCTGACTAGTCTAAAAGAAAAAAAAATAGTTGGCTGGTCCGAGCACAAGGTTTTTACAACTGACTGATCACAACCAGTTACAGATTCTTTTGTTCCTTCTCTGCTCCCACTGCTTCACGTGCCCAGCCTAAAATAAAATAAAATAAAATAAAAATTGTGTAAAATAAAAAAGAAAGAAAATAGCAAATTATATCCAGCAACATATAAAAAGGATATAAAAAGGATAACATATCAAGATCAATATGGTTTATTCTAGGAAGGAAAAGTCAGGCTAATAGTTAAAAATCAATCATATAACTCAGTATATTAATAAAATAAAAGAGAAAATTGCACAATAACATCAATAGATATGGAAAAAGTATTGGCTAAAATTCCATCCCATTCACAATAAACACATAGCAAACTAGGAAGCTTTCTTTCTTTTTTGCCTGAAAAATTATCTTAGATTTACAAGAAAGTAGCAAAAGTAGTGCAAGTTTTCTGTGTATTCTTTACCCAACATCCTTTAGTCTTATCATATTATGTAACTATAGTGCAATTCCTGAAAGCAGGAAGTTAACACTGACACTGTGTGATTAACTGACTTACAGATGTTAATATTTTGCTAAATTTCCCATTAATGTCCTTTTCTGACCCAGGATCCCATCAAGCATCTGGGACAGTTCTTCAGTCTTTCTTTGTCTTTATGACTTTAATACTTTTTTTGATGAATACTTCATTTTATGAAATGTCCCTTGATGTAGGTTTGTCTGATGTTTTCTCATAATAAGATTGAGATTATGAAGTTTTGTCAACAATATTAAAAAGTGGAGATGAATTCAAAGCAGCTTTTCCCATTCTCAACAAGACATCTGTCATGTTAGTCTGTAGTATTAAAATTCCTTTCTTCCTTAGCACAAAAGAAAAAAAAAGAATATTATAAAGTTATGTTTTGCCAGAAGAGATATTTTCTTTTTTTTTTTCCTGGAAAACAAAATTGACAGTGGAAGAATAAATTTAATGGAAGAATACATTTTAATCTGATAAAGAGTATGTTCAAAAAACCTGTGGCATGCTTCACACCCAAGAGGATGACTGTAATCAAAACAGTGGAAGGTTATCTCAGCAGTGGAAAAAAAAGTAAAATTTAAAGTAATTATAAAATTTTTTTTAAAGTTTTTAAGTGTAAAAAGTAAATCGAATAATTTAAAAAGAAAAAAATAAGAGGAAGAAGAAACAAGTGGAAAGTAAAAGTGCTGGAGAGGATACAGAGAAATGAGACGCTCATGCATTTCTGGTAGGAACGGAAAATGGTTCTGCTGTTGTAGAAAACAGTTTAGTCGTTCTTCAGAAAGTCAAACACAGGATTACCATATAACCCAGCAATTCCAATCCTAGGTATATGCCAAAAATAATTGAAAACAGGGCTTAAAAAAATCCTTGCAAGCAGTTTGGCTCTTATCCACAGGCTCTTATCCACTATGTCCCAAGACCAGAGGATGCGAGAAACCTCGGCTAGTGCGGCCCCTATGTACGCCCGCTATGTCTTTTCCTGTACTGCATACCTACCGTAAAGTTTAAGTGACGAATTAAGCACAGTGAGAGATTAACAATAATAATAAAACAAAAATAATTATAGCAATATATTTTAATAAAAGTTATGTGAATGTGGTCTATCCGTCTCTCAAAGTACTGTATTGTAAACTTCCCAAATTTCCCCTCCCTTTTTTTGGGTTTGAAAAACCGAAGTCGGAGGACACAATGCCCATGATGAGACCAGGGAGGCGAATGCTGGGCCGTGCGCGTCGGGACTGTCGGGGGACTGTCGGGGACTGTCAGGGACTGTCGGGGGGCTGTCGGGGGCTCGTCGGGGACTGTCGGGGCTGTCGGGGCTGTCGGGACTGTCGGGGGTGTCGGGGGCCTGTGGGGGACGTCCAGGGGGACTGTCGGGGGACTGTCGGGGGACTGTCGGGGGACTGTCGGCTGTCGGGGACTGTCAGGGGACGTCGGGGACTGTCGGGGATCCTGTCGGGGGTGCGGGGTGACTGTCGGGACTGTCAGGGACTGTCGGGACTGCGGGGGATGTCGCGGGGACTGTCGGGGGACTGTCGGGGCTGTCGGGACTTCAGGGACTGTTCGGGTGTCGAATGTCGGGGCTGTCGGGGGCGCTGTCGGGACCTGTCGGGGCTGTCGGGGCTGGGGGACTGTCGGGCTTCGTGCGGCGGTCGGGGTGGGCTGTCGGCTGTGGGCTGTCGGGGACAGCGGCTGTGGGGCACGAGCGGCCGCGGACTGAGGCTGACGCGGTGAGCGCGCGGCCGCGGGAGCTGAGGCTGACGCGTGAGGCGCGCGGCCCGGGAGGCTGAGGCTGACGCGGTGAGGGCGCGCGGCCGCGGGGAGCTGAGGGCTGACGCGGTGAGGGCGCGCGGCCGCGGGAGCTAGGGCGACGCGTGAGGCGCGCGGCGCGGGGACTGAGGCTGACGCGTGAGGCGCGCGGCGCGGAGCTGAGGGCTGACGCGGTGAGGGCGCGCGGCCCGGGAGGCTGCGCCGCCTGCCAGGCGAGGCCAGACGCGGCTTCATCACTCTGCGCAGAACAGAGCACAGTAAAACTTGCGGACTGTTTATTTCTGGAGTTTTCCATTTAATATTTTTGGACCTCAGTTGGCGGCGTGACCGAAGCGGCGGGACGCGAAGCCCTGGGCGGGGCTGCTGTGCGGGACGTCCGCGGCAGCGCCGCCCGCAGCAGCCGGAGGAGACGCAGCCCGCGCGGCAGGTGCGCGGACGGACGGCTGCGGCGTGCACACGACGGGGTAGGGCTCCACCGTGGGAAGGACCGAGTGCTGGTCTGTGCGACAGCACGAAGGAATCCTGAAAATATCACGCTAAGTAAAAAAAGGAAGACACAAAAAGATCACATGCTGGTGACTTCACTCGTAGGAGACGTTCAGAACAGGTAAATTCATGGAAACAGGATGCAGACTGGTGGTTGCCAGAGGCAGGAGGTCGAGGAGAACAGGGAGTAATTGCTTCATGGGTGCAGGGTTTTATTTTGCAGTGAAGGAAATGTTTTGGGCTGGATAAAGGTGGTGATTTTACAATATTGTGTATTACTAAATGGCACTGAATTGTTCACTTCAAAATAGTTCACTTTGAGCCATGTGTGGTGGCTCACACCTGTAATCCCAGACAATCGGGAGGCTGAGGCAGGAGGATCACTTGAGGCCATGAGTTTAAGACCAGCTTGGGCAATATAGTGAAACTCCATTTCTTTAAAAAAAGTTAATTTTATGTTATGTGAATGTCACTTCAGACTCTAAATCCCTACAGCAAGCATCGTGCTTACTGGTGAAAAGTTAAAGGCGTCCCACTGAGATGCCCACTGCCGCCATTTCCGTGCGCGCTGCATGAGACGTTTTGGCCAGTGCAATAGTTACAAATAAGAAAAAGAGGAAGAAGAAGGAGGAGAAGGAGGTGGAGGAAGAAAAGGAGAAGGGTGGGTAAGGAGAAGAGAAATAAAATGCATAAGATTTAGTAAGGAAGAAATAAATACTATTGTAGTATACAGATGACATTATTATATTCCTAGAAAATCTAAACAAATCTACAGATAAACTATTACAATCATTAGATACGAGGTCAAAAACTTTGAAAATCCTTTGCATTTCTATCCAATTAGAAATATTAAAAAATTTAAATATAGTAGCATCAGGGACATAAACATATAGGGATAAATACAAGAAAACCGTGCAGAACCCCTACACAGAAAATGGTAAAATTGTATTGAAGAGTGTAAAAGAAAAATGAAAGGATATACTATGTGCAGGGATTGAAATACTTAGTATTGTTAAGATACCAGTTCCCCCTAACTTGATCTACAGATTTAATGCAATCACAATTGAAATCCCAGCAGTTTTCTTTTTGTGGGGTGATCCTCAGCAATCACAGGGGGAGATGAGGAAGGTTGAAACTGGCAAGCCAGTTCTAGAATTCACATGAAAATACAAAGGGCTGAGAACAGCTAAGACGATCTTGAGGAGCAAGAGCAAAGCTGCAGGAGCTGGCCCGCAGCCGTCCCCTCATCGGCAGGGCCTGTGGAGGGCATGTTCCAAGCTGCCCATGGGTGCCTGAAGCCACAGATAGGACCAATCCCGATATATACTGTTTTTTTCTATGTAAACATACCTATGATAAAATTTAACTTCTAAATTAGGCACAGTAAGAGATGAACAATAATGATAATAAAGTGGAATGATTATAATGATATACTACTGTAATCAAAGTTATGTGAATGTGGTCTCTCTCTTTCTCTTTCAAAATACTGTATTGTACTGTACCACAGGTACCTGAAGCCCTGGAAAGGAAAGCCGCAGATGAGAGGGACTGCTGTGTGACAATGAGGACAGTCTAGTGTTACTGCAAAGATATGCTAGCAGGCCAATGTAAGAGTACTGTGTCCAGAAACAGCCCAAACGTATATAAACAATTAAGACAAAAAGTGACACTACAGTTCAGTGGGGGAAAAATTAGTCTTTTTCAATAAATGGTGATGGGGCAACTAAATAATCATGTAGAAAAAAATGAATCTTGATTCCTATCTCATACCATAGACAAAAATCAAATCCAGATAGACTGTAGATCTAAATTGGAAAGAAAAACAATAACCTCTTATAGGAAAATATATTTGTGACCTTGTTTTAGACAAAATTTCTTAAACATGACAGAAAGAAGCACCAATCATAAAAAAATAGCTAAATTGGACTACATTAAGTTTAAGGAACTGTTTATCAAACTACACCATTAAGACAGTAAAAAGACAAACTATGGAATGGGAAAAGATTTTTGCAATAAGTATAAATGACAAAGGTCTAATATCCAAAACATAGAGATCTACAAATTTGTAAGAAAAAGATTAACAACTCAACATAAAAGTACAAAAGATTAGAACACAAACAAGAATATTCAAATGGCCAGAAAACTTGTTTTAAAAAGTGCTAATCCTCATTAATCACCAGGGAAACACAAATTAAAGCTACAACGAGATACCCACCTACCAGTATGCTCAAAACTGACAGGACATGACACATGTTGGCAAATATTTGGTGGAACTGAAACTGTCAAACACCATTAGTAGGAATGCAAATTGGTACAACTTGGGGAAATTGTTTGGCACTATCTATTAAAGCCAAATATAAGTAAACTCTATAAACAGATAGGCATAAACCCAATGAAAGGGGCACATATGCACACAAAGTCATGTGTGAGAATATTTATAGTGGCATTGTTTTTAATAGGCAAAAGCTGGAAACAATCTAAATATTCATAAACAGGGATAAACAACATGAGTATATTCACACAATGGAATAATATGCAGAAAAGAATGACTAGTACACCTAGATGAACCTCATAATGTTGAGCGAAAGAAACTAAACATATTGATGCAACATCTGAGCCAAAAAAAAAAAAAAAGAAACTAAACATAAAAGAGTATGTATTTTATGATTTCATTGATGTAAAGTTCAAACACGGATCAGACTCATTTCTGATTTTAGGAGTCAAAAGAGAGCTCCCAATGAGAAGCAAAGTGGCTGAGAGGAGCAAGAGAGAAGCTTATGGGCTCCTTCTGGTAATTTATATTATAATCTGGCAGGGACATGAGCACTCTTGCTTTGTGAAAATTCATCAGGTTGTATATTCTCTATATGTTCCATAAATAAGTTTATTTTTAATGAGTGTTGCTATACATACCAGTCTTCAATGAGCCTGCAAATATAGTTATAGATGCACAAATAACCAAAAAAATCCTGCCATTGCCCCTTTCTTACCCAGGCTGGGATTCCAACCTTCCTCACAAGTCTCTACCATTTTCTCAACTCTTTCCTGGAGTCTCCAAGGGAAACCTCACACGTATTTACAAAACAGTCTATCAAACATAACAACTTCTGCAAATTACAGAAAAAAAGAGTCAAAATCAAAATTTAAGTCAGGGCTCAGCTAGGATACTCTGTTACTCAAAAACAGGATCCCATACTGCAACTTGCTGTTTGAATTTACAGTGGACTTTCTCCCTTATCAACATGTATAAATCCACCTTACCCCCTTTAACCGCTGAAGAACAATCTATTTTATAGCCTTACAGTATTTTACTTTACAAATCCCCTTTAAAGAACATTAGGTTGTTTCCAACATTTTGCTTTTATAAAGATATTCCAGTGAATATCCTAGCACAAATATTGTTCTTATTTGACTATTTCCATTAGAATACGTTACTTGAAGTTGAAATATTAGGCCAAGTGGTGGGCTTATGGACAAGGATTTAGATATATGCTACCAACTTACCTCCAGAAACATTTACCAGCAGCCCCAACCCCTGCAGTCTAGGAAAGCATCTACATCCTTGCCAGCGCTGGTGACCGTCAGTCTTTTTTTGTTTGTTTGCTTATTTTTTGTTTCTTTGAGACAGGGTCTCACTTTGTTGCCCAGGCTGCCTTGAACTCCTAGGCTCAAGCCATCCTCCCACCTCAGCCTCCCGAGTACCTGGGACCACCTGCAGGTGCCTCCATGTCCATTTTATTCTCTGCCTTTTTAATCCTTACCAAATCTGACGTATGAAAATCACATTTCATCATTTTAATTATTTCTTTTCAGTAATTCACAAGGTTGAACGTACATTTATTGTCCATTTATAGTTCTTTTTTTGTAGACTCTCCCATTTTTAGTGAGGTCTACTTCTTATTGATTTTTAAATAGTTCTTCATATATGGTAAAGTGATTAACCATGTTTCTATTACATATGAAGCAACTATTTTTTCTTAGTTTGATATTTAACTTTACATTTTGTTTTGTGCTCTTCTTCATCCAGAAGTTCTTAATTTTCATATGTAACATCTTTCCACTTTTTCTTTTGTTTTCTGTCTATGATATCAATGCCAAGAAAAACCTTCCCTTTCCTAGCATTTTCCTCTGTTTATGGCCAGGGTCACACTGCCCATAAACAGTGAAGCCAGAATTCAAACATGACTTGATCTCATGACTTTATACCTTATGTGTGTGACCCCTCACTATACTGTTCTGTGGATATTAAGAATATTGGTTATCTTTAACGTATTTTCATTTACCTGTAATTTCACATGTATGTACGCTAAGACTTATGTAGACAATAAGGCATGAGAGTGTAGTGACTAAGAGAGGAACTCTGGGCCAGGTGCGGAGTCTCACTCCTGTAATCCTAGCACTCTGGGAGGCCGAGGCAGGAGGATCACTTGAGCTCAGGAGTTCAAGACCAGCCTAAGCAACAGTGAGACCCCGTCTCTATTAAAAATAGAAAAAATTAGCCAGGCAACTAAAAATAGAAACAAAAATTTAGCAGGGCATGGTGGTGCATGCCTGTAGTCCCAGCTGCCAGGGAGGTTGAGGCAAGAGGATTGCTTGAGCCCGGAAGTTGGAGGTTGCCATGAGCTAGGGTGACATCATGGCACTCACTCTAGTCCAGGCAACCAAGTGAGACTCTGTCTCAAAAAAAACCAAAACAAGGCCAGGCGTGGTGGTTCACATCTGTAATCCTAGCACTCTGGGAGTCCCAGGAGGGAGGATCGCTCAAGGTCAGGAGTTCGGAACCAGCCTGAGCAAGAGCCAGACCCCATTTCTACTAAAAAAAGAATAGAAAGAAATTAATTGGCCAACTAATATATATATATATATATTAGCCAGGCATGATGGTGTATGCCTGTAGTCCCAGCCACTTGGGAGGCTGAGGCAGGAGGATTGCTTGGACCCAGGAGTCTGAGGTTGCTGTGAGCGAGGCTGATGCCTCGGCACTCTAGCTCAGGCAACAAAGTAAGACTCTGTCTCAAAAAGGAAACAAAAAAGAGAGAGGAACTCTGAAAACAGACAGCTCGGGCTCACATCCTAGCTCTGTCATTTCTCAGCTCGACGGCTCTGGGCAAGTTACTGAACCTCATTGTGCCTAAGTTTACTTTACCATAAAAGGTGGAAAATAATAGTATCTATGCTGTCAATGAATTAAGACGTGTTAGTGCTCGGTACATCATAAGCTCAATATAAGCCTTTGTTTTAATGAACATATACTACTTTTATAATAAAAACAAACTAACATTATTTTTAAAATGATAATATGCTATAATTAGAAAGGGCAAGTAACTGAAAAGCCCATTGGCCCAATCCCCTGGAGAGCTGTCCTGGGGTTCCGGGGGGCCTCCCTCCGTGCTCGGCGCAGTCGGATGCAGCCCCGAAGGACACGGTAGCGTGCTCCTGCTTCCAGCCCACAGCTTTGTTTTGAAGCATGGAACTTTCTCTTTTTTCTATTTCATTTCTTCTTTTTTTAAAAAAAGTTTGGTTTTTTTTTACTTCAGCATATTACCGGGGTACAAGTGTTTATATTGTCCTTGTATAAGTGTATATGTTGTCCTTGCCTCACCCGAGTCAGAGCTTCAAAGCATGTCCATCCCCCAGACGGTGGGCACCGCACCCGTCAGGTGTGAACATACCCATCCCTCCTCCCTCCTCTACCTGCCCCACACCCGATGACACTTATGTGCAGTTGATCAGTTAATACCAATGTGCTGGTGAGTACATATGGTGCTTATTTTTCCGTTCTTGGGATACTTCACTTAGTAGAATGGGCTCCAGTTCTAGCCAGGAAAATACAAGAGGTGCTAGATTACCATTGTTTCTTATAGCTGAGTAGAACTCCATGGTATACACATTTTATTAATCCACTCATTATTGATGGGCACTTGGGTTGTTTCCACATCTTTGCAATTGTGAATTGTGCTGCTATAAACATGTAAGTGCAGATGTCTTTTTCATAAAGTGTCTTTCTTTCCTTTGGGTAGATGCCCAGTAATGGCACTGCTGGATCAAATGGTAGATCCACTTGTATCTCTGAGGTATCTCCATATTGCTTTCCACAGAGGTTGCACTAGTTTGCAGTCCCATATCAGAGCTTTCTGATCTCAACTGGCTTTCTAGGTAAAGAACAAATATTTGGCAGACAAAAAGAGAAAAGTGTTTGATTCATTCTCCGGACACTTCCTGAGTGCCAGCTATGTGTGCTCCCCCGGCTGGGAACTGCTGCCCCCCCAGGGCGCACTACTGGCGGCTCGCTTAGCAGACACTGTCTCGTGGGACACTCGCAGCCACTCTACGAGGCAGACACAGCTGTACCCCATTTTACAGAGGAGGAAACTGAAGTTCAGAGAGTCAAGTGGCTTGCCACAAAACCCCAAAGATGGCAGTGGCAGGGCCAGCCTGCTCCAGAGTGCAGACCCCTGCACTCTGCGACTTGGCCGCCCTCTCACCAAGGGTCTGCGGAGCCCTGGGCCCTGCTGCGCTAGAAGTCACTCACTTGAGGGATGTTTTTCCTGGGCAGAGCACCACACGTGCCCACAGAGAAGGAATGGCTTTCCGGGCTGTCCCTCCCGGCCCGGCTGGGGCTCTCAGCTCCTCAGATGCCCCAAGCAGGCTCTGCCCCTCCAGGCACGGCCGCGTGCGCTGCAGCTCCCTCCGGCTCTCCGCACACCTCTGGGCGCCCGGCTCTGCTCAAGCGCCAGCCTCAGCCTGCGCTCTGCCGGCGGGGGCTGGGGGCTCCGGCCTCACTGCATCGGTCAAGACTCTACAAGGTGGTGGCAGCTTCCAGTAGAGTCCACTGCACCCAGCATCCTCCTCCAGGAAGCCCTCCCGAAGTCCCAGCCCACAGGCAGCGCCCTCGGAACAGGCTGCCGTCCCCTCCCGTGTCCCAGCACCCTTCACTCCGCAGGTCTGAGTTTAGGGCCTGCCTTCTCTTCCTCCTCAATCCACAAGTCCTTCTCCTGAAGCAGGACTGAGGCTGTTTTCTCCTTTGAGCTCCCCACAGTCTCCAGCCAAGAGCTGGGCTCGTAGAAAGTGCTTAATAAAAAAAACAAAGTGTCAGATCTCCAAAGGTAATGTTAAAAAAATAAATAAAAAATAAAAAAAAAAAAACAAAGTGAATGAGTACATAGATAGCCTCATGAAAGAATGTCTTTTTTTTTTTTTTTTGAGGCAGAGTCTTGCCCTGTTGCCCAGGCTAGAGTGCCATGGTGTCAGCCTAGCTCACAGCAACCTCAGACTCCTGGGCTCAAGCGATCCTCCTGCCTCAGCCTCCCGAGTAGCTGGGACTACAGGCATGTGCCACCGCGCCTGGCTAATTTTCTCTATATATTTTTAGTTGTGCAGTTAATTTCTTTCTATTTTTAGTAGAGACGGGGTCTCGCTCTTGTTCAGGCTGGTCTCGAACCCCTGAGCTCAAACGATCCTCCTGCCTCAACCTCCCAGAGTGCTGGGATTACAGGCATGAGTCACCATGCCCGACCAAGAATTTCAAAATGGACAGACCAACATACAGTCTGACTCCTGTCAAAGGAGCCGGCTGGTGAGTGGCTGAATGCTTTGGCTTTTGGTGGGAACATTGGGAAAACTGCATTTGAGAA